TGGTTGGCCCATGAGGTCTCTTCCAACTATGATTCTATGATTCTAAGTCAAGAGCAGGTTTTGGGGCCAAAATTATGGATTTTGATATGAACTGTTGAAAAATTGAGGGTCATTCTGCAAAGGAGAGAAACCACTATCACTGCCTTAGGGGTCTAGCAGTCCCTGGTCACCACTGTCATTTTCTAATACAGGCATTTAAAAAGACCAGAAATGATGTTGTGGCAGAAAGGAGCAAAGAGGATTCATGCTTTTTAAAGATTTTCCCAGGATGAGCTAAACTTTTGACTTTTCACCTCATCAGACAGGGGGCATTTAGTGTCCTAGTACGCTTTTACCCCATCTTCTGGATGGAGCCCCACACCGGCCATCCAATGACATTGTGTGACTTGAATGCCCCGCGTAAAGATTAAAATCCAGATCCTCAATGCTCAGATCTTTGTGGGCCATCACTTCATACTTCCCCCCACCCTCCATTTCAGGGAGAGAAAAAACAGAGTTGGAAATTATCTCCAGGCAGAACCCCCACTGCTGTCACTTTCATCTTGATTTTTATTGTCTTTTAATTAATTTTAAGTGGTTTAAGTCTATTGATTATTTAATTGTGTTTAAATAACCTTTACATTTAGATCCCCCCCCCCCCCCCGTGTTTTTGTATGGATTTTAATCTGTACTCTTTTTATGGCATTGATTCTCATTACTGGATATAATGAAAGTAGTAGTAGTAGTAGCTGTTATTATTATATAATTTTATCTTCTAAATTTACACAAATGATCAAAACTTGTGGCTCTCTGTACAGATTACAAGCCCCATCATGTCTAATGATTGCCTGTGCTGGCTGAGGCTGATGGGATAGTAGAAGTCCTAGAACGTCTGAATAACTGACCTCTGACCTACACTGGCTGGCAGGAGGTGCATGTATAAATTGAATGAAGTTCAATACCACTTTAACTACCATGGCTCAATGTTCCAGAATCAGAGCAGTTGTAGTTTGGCAAGGCAGAGAAGGAGTTATAGTTTGGCAGAGAAGGTTAAAGACCTTGTAAAACTACAACTCCTATGATTCCATTACATTGAGCCATGGCAGTTCAAGAAGATTCAAATTGCATTAATTCTACCTAAGGTTTAGTAATTTACTATAAGCCAGAGTCTTTTTCCATTGCAGTGACCTTGCCATCCTTGCTCCTCCAGCTGAACACATTAAGGGTCTCATCACATTGAGGTCCACATTCTAGATGATAGTGGGGTGATGGTGGGAAACCCTCGGCCAGCATGGGAAACCCATCACCTCATGCCCCACATCGCCCACATCGCCCCTTACCTATCCCACAGAGGGAAGCATCATCACCCAGCTTCCCTCCATGCTTGCCCCATTGTAAGCAACATGAATACAGGAAACTTCTCATGTTTTTGTTGCTTCCTCTTACACCTCAGTTCAGGGATGGAGCCTCACTACCAAAAAAGGTCCTCTCTTTCATCCCCACCAACCGGGATTGAGGTGGGACTGAGAGAAGGGCCTCTCCTGAAGATCTCAGGACCCAGGCAGGTTTGTACCAGGGGATGTAGTCAACCAAATAGCCTGGATCTGAACCATCTAAGGCTTTAAAGGTCATAGCCAGCACTTTGCATTGTGCCTGGAAACACTGGGGGCTAGTGGAGCTACTGCAACAAGGGGGTTGTCCACTAATTGTAGCCAGCCCCAGTGAGCTACCTGGCTGCAGCTTTTTGGACCAGCTGAAGTTTGCACTCTTCAGAGGCAGTCCCACGTAGAGTGCATTACAGTAATCCAGATGGGATGAAACTAAGGTATCACCATGGTCAGATCTGGCTTCTCAAGGAATGGGCACAGTTGATGTGCAAGTTTTAATTGTCAAAGGCCTTCCCAGCCACTGCCAATGCTTGGGTCTCCAGTTTCAGTGCCAAGTACAGGAGGATCCCCAAACTGCGATACTATGACTTTAGGGGGAGTGTGACCCCACCATGTTAGATTTAGAGCAGTCTGTAGAGACTATGAAGGAGAGTGCTGCATCTAGTGAAAATCATCAAAATACAGGAACCAGTACAGATTAAATAGTTAATGGGATGCAAATTAAATTACTTCATAGTCAATGAAGACTTGAGCCTCTGAAGCTTTAAGAAGACATTTGTTGGGTGTTCTAATGCTAGTGCCTGTCCTTGAAGATACAAAGCACATTCTCTCTCTCTCTCTCTCTCTCTCTTATTGGAAATTGGCAAGAGACTGGAAAGTGAAAGCAGAACAGACCATCAACTTTTGGAATGACACAAATATTGCAGACTGAAGTTTTGATGTTGATTGTCCTGGATTATGTCTCTTCTGAAATTGTCAAGAAATGGAAACTGTGATATTGCCTGCCACACCTCCAAACTATGTTTCTTTGGGATACTTTTGGCTTGCTGGCTGGCCAGTGGTGGATTTTGTACAGCAGAAGCACAACCATCAATAACAGGATAGGGAAAAGGAAATTGTACTTGACATTCAAAAGATAGTATCAGAAATTAATCTCTCCTTGATGGGATTTTCTTTATCAGATCCAGGCCAGGACATTTTGTTTTTAGAAGGTGAAGAACTATTTGCTCTCCCAAGCCATCCAGGAGCACAGGAGACAAAGCTGGTCAAATACTTCTGGCAATTCAGATCTTTGCCTCACTGGCAGTCCAATTCACTACAAGTAGATGAAACCATCAACTTCTGTTTCCTTTTTTGACCCCACCCTAAATCAGTTGCCAAGTACTTCACATCCACTTTCTCTAACCACTCTTATTTTTAAAGGGGGTAGGCCAGATGGGAGCCATGGACAAAGTATGGTGTCACTACTATGGAACAGGACTCTCCTTAAAACTTTGGGCCACCAGGATTTTGAATAACAAGAGAATACTTGTGGTCCATGGAATTCGTACCTAAGACATATATGGGCATTGCAAACTTTCTAAAACTTTTTTTGAAAATACTTGGGTTATGTTGCTCTTACTGCTGTATACCTTAAGTCAGTTCTGACTTATAGTGACCATATGATTTAAAGAGGACCGGATTAGTTCAGAAAGCCTTTGCTTTCCTTTGAGGCTGGAAGAGTAAGACTTGCTCAAAGTCACCCAGTAGATTTCAGTGGCTGAGCACAAATTCAAACTCTGTTCTCAGAGTTTCAAACTACTGCACCATGCTGCATTTCAATTTATATTATACCTATTTGCAAAGTTAAGTTTTGGACCACATTTTAGGGCACATATCAAGGTTATACAATGATGGAGAATTCTTTCCTCTCCAGATATATGCTGGTTAAGAGTGAGAAGAATTGCAGTTCACCAACATTTGGAGCACCACAAATTGATCAATTCACCATAGAGAGGCAAAATGCAAAAATAAATCCTATTTTGTTAGCTTGTCCCCAAATGATCAAGCTACTCTGTACAGGCAGTTCCTAACTTACAAAATCCAACTTACATGGACTCCTAGTTAAAAAGGGGGATGAGAGTTGTGTGTGAAACAATAGGAAGTGAGAAGAAATCTACCCCTCAGAAGGGGAATCCACTCCTGGAAGAGTTATCATGGGGGAAAGTGTCTCAACTGAAGCTTTCTCACCAATGCTTGTTTCCATGATGACCCAAATTTTTCAAAGCCCAACTATCACAGGGACAGAAAATGAGGTGAAATCTTCTGAATAGGGTTATAGATAGCAAAACAAACACCACAGGAATGTTAACCCCATATGCTATGCAAAACTTTTTTTAAAATTGGTTGGCATCACACTTTAAAATGTACCTGTTCTGACTTACATACAAATTCAACTTAAGAATGTCATAATATAGGCATTACCTGTAGTTCTGCATGTTCAGTATGTAGTAAGGACAAACAGGTTGTGTAATTGGGGGAGGAGAGAGACAGGGTCTTCTCAACAGTGGCTCCCTGTCTGTGGAATTCCCTCCCCAAAGACATCAGACTGGCCACCTCCCTCCTGTCCTTAAGAAGGAAAGTCAGCGGCTTGTATGAAGAAGACATAAGCAATTTCGAAGTGACAATGAATTGACCTGGACCTGGATTTTAATTGACATGTTTTAACAACTATTTATTTATTTATTTATTTTGAGGTTTTATATACCGACCCTCTCACCTTCAAAGAGGGTTTCAGACCGGTTCACATGTGTTAAAATACAAAAATATACAATAAAACACAATGCAACATCATTACACGATTAAAATATAAGCACCATAAACATTAAAAACATTATCATCACAGTTATAAGAGCCAAATCGTCCACACAATCGCAATCCCAAACTACCGTTCATCATCATCTTTTCATGTGGGCAAAGAATTAAATCAGTTGTCAAATGCCACGTTCCACAACCAGGTCTTTGTTAATTTCCTGAACGTCATGAGGGAGGGGGCAGTTCTGATCTCTAATGGGAGGGAATTCCAAAGCCGGGGAGCCACCATCGAGAAGGCCCTGTCCCTCGTCCCCACCAGCCGTGATTGTGCAGGCGGTGGGACCGAGAGCAGGGCCCCTCCAGACGATCTTAATGGTCTTTATTTAATGTTTTGTTTTAATGAATTTGTTGATTGTTCTTATCATTATGACGGCACCAAATGGTGTTTGCTGTGAGGCTGCCCTGAGTCCCCCTCGGGGGTGAGAAGGACAGGGTGCAAGTATATGAAATAAAAAATAATAATACTGATGGAAAAGAATTCTGAAGGTATAATTCTGAAGCTGCTTTGAATCTCTTTTTTAGAGAAAAAAAGCAGAGTATAAATAAAAAATGAGAAAGAAAGAAATAATTCAGCCTTTTTGAAGAACTGTGCATCTTCAGTGTCAAGGATTCTCTCTGTATGTTGTTTAGTATGCTCTCGTCTCACATATGAGCATGGCTGTGTCTGTAAAGAAGAGTGAAGATATGAAACAGACACACAAGAAGTTATTATCTATATATTTATTTCTTTTATATACTGGTGACACAATGATTCACTTTCTTAACCGTTCCTCTTCCCAGGTTTACAGGACAATCCTTGGACATGTGACTGCAGCCTCTATGAAATGGTCCACTTTCTCAATTTTCAGTCCCCCAACATAGCATTTGTTGAACCAAGACTGAAGTGCTTTGCACCCAGGAGTCTGGCAGGAATTTTCTTCACCCAAGTCGAACTGAGAAAGTGCCAGAGCCCTGTTGTGCATACGTCTGTCGCCAAAGTGAAGACCATCCTTGGAAGCACAGTCCTGTTGCGATGTGGGACCACAGGGGTGCCTATTCCTGAGCTGAGCTGGAGGAGGGCTGATGGAAACCCCCTCAATGGAACAGGTGGGATTTCCTCCTTCCTTGCCTGTACTGTTATTGAGCTTTATCAATAATGACACCATTGCATCTCTTTGTCAAGAACAAAGCAATCATGTTTCTCAAAAGACATAGCAATGAGTATAGTAAACACCAATGTAAAAAATATTTGCAACCATTTCCATCCTTGAGAAGAATGCTTATACTTCCCCTAGATTTGTTGCCTCCATCTTCTCTTTTTGATAAGCTTTACGTCTGAGTAAAAACATTGAAAGAGTTTTCCATTCTGCCAGATTTTTATCTATTCTTGGCCATTGTTTGTTGTTCATCCATTCAGTCAATTCCAACTCTTCGTGATCTCATGGACCAGCCCACGCCAGAGCTCCCTGTCGGCCATCACCACCCCCAACTCCTTCAAGGTCAAGCCAGTAACTTCAAGGATCCCATCCATCCATCTTGCCCTTGGTCACCCCCTCTTCCTTTTTCCTTCCATTTTCCCCAGCATAATTGTCTTCTCTAAGCTTTCCTGTCTTCTCATTATGTGGTCAAAATACTTCATCTTTGCCTCTAATATCCTTCCCTCCAGTGAGCAGTCGGGCTTTATTTCTTGAAGTATGGACTGGTTGGATTTTCTTGCAGTCCAAGACACTCTCAGAACTTTCCTCCAACACCATTGTAGTTTAAGGAAAAAAAAGTTTTCTTAATTCAAAAAATGTATTTGAAATGGTTTCATCCTCAGTAGGAAGTGTCTTGACATATTTATTTATTTATTGTTTATTTACTGTATTTATATACTGCCTTTCTCACCCATGGGGGGAACGCAAGGTGGTTTACAATGTACTAATGATAAAAATTAAATGCCAATATACAGTACACAAAGAAATCATAATAACTATTTACTACATATAACTATGAACTTAAAATAAATTAAAACCATTAAAAATAAGACATGCACAAACTTTAAACATTCAGACAAAGCAAAAAAAAAATCACCCTAGCATAAATATTAACATTTTTATGCCCTAGTATTAAGACATATCACTGAAAAAAGCAACAGTATTGAAAACCAAGAACCATGTAAACTGTTTATAGGTTTGTGGAGTTTATGTTAGAGTGAAATGACCAAAACTACCACTGCCCAATTTTATTTTGGGGTGAGTGGGTTGTGGTGGATTTTCTTGTGTGTACAATCCATACTTTGTGCAAAAACATGGTTAGATTACTCCTTTTTCCTGGCAGTGAAACAGCCTTAGTTTATTTGACAATCTGATGGCAAAGTACAACAATGCTACCCAAGGAACAAAACAGATCAGCATATAAATCATGCCCCCCCCCCCAAAAAAAAAAAAACAACCCCTCAGCAATGAATTGTAGGAAGTATTTACACTGCCTCTGGATTGTATAAATATGCTGATAGAACTTTGTATTCTACCAGATTTATACAGGAATTTGGTCACTATATATTCCACAAAATATAGCTTTTTAAATGTAAAGACTTGAATAAATGTTAATTTGAATGCTTACACAAAGTGATACAATTTTCACAGAAAAGTTCTAAAATGTGAAAATAAAAGATGTAATCCTACAGGAAGTAAACTTGTAAAATTTATGAGAATGAAATACGCAAAGATTTTTGGCCCCAGCTAGGACTCAAAATATCGCCCTTGCACTTTACTATTGTTGTATCCAAAGTTATAATGATCCTTTTTATATTGCTCTTATTCTTACTGCTGCTATATGACATAAGAACTTTAATCACTAGCCTTATTATTAATTATTATTATTATTATTATTCATGGGAAATAAAATGTTCTGCTGCAGCAGTTTAACAGTTTTTATGTTCTTGAGCAAGGTGATGCTCTTCTTAAACCAGAAGGAGAAACTTTTGCTTTTTGGTGTGTTTTGCACTTCTGCTTCCAGATACTGCAGCAGCAGAGCCAATGGTCGAGGAATGTGGGAGCTGTAGTCCAAGGCGTCAAAGGCTTGCCACTTCTCCTTTACAAATTATCTGGAACAACATAGTCCTATACTATTATGACTGTTGGCATGCTTCATTAAATAATATCTGCAATACATATGGGCAAAAATATCATATCTCCAGACCAGGCATGGGCAAACCCATGTCTGCAGACTGGACGCAGTCCTTTGGGCTCTTTGCCCCAGCCCCCATTTGCTTTGGCCTCCCCTTCAGTATGCAGATGCAGTGACCCACCATGTCCCCAGGCTGAAAGGAGGGCCAAGGCATAGACACATCTCCACCAAGTGCTCCCTGGAGAGCACTTGGCAGCAGTATGTTTGCCTCCCTTCTTTGGCCAAAGGAAAGCGAGCTGCTGCCTTCCTGGGGGCCAGAGAAGAGCCAAGGAAAGAAACACACCATTGCCAAGTGTGCTTGATAGTGGTGTATTTCCTTCCCTCCTCTGGGCCCAAGGAAGGTGTGCTACTGCCTTCACAAGGCCCAGAGATGAGCTGGGGTGAGAAACACACCACTGCCAAGCATGTTTAACAGTTGTATGTTTCTCTCCCCACTCTGGTCCTGAGGAAGGCAGGCCCAGAAAAGAACCGGGACAATATGCCGCTGCCAACTGTGCTTGACAGAGACATGTTTCTCTCCCTCCTCTGGGCCTTAGAAAGGTGGATCACTGCCTTCCCAGGACCCAGAGAAGAGCCAGGAGGGTGTGCTTGACAATGATGTGTTTCTCTTCCCTCTCTGGACCCAAGGAAGGTAGGCCACTACCTTTCCAGGGCCCAGAGAAGAGCGGGTAGAGAAACATGCCACTGCCAAGTGTGCTTGACAATGGCATGTTTCTCTCCCTTCTCTGGGCCCAAGGAAAGGGGTGCAAACAGCAGCAGAGTGTTTGTCTTCCCGGAGACATACCTACCCCTTTCCTCTCCCGGTCCCAGCCTCTACAAGGCCCCAGCCAAACCTTTCCTTCCCAGCTCTGCCCCTTCCAGCCACAGCTCCACCCCTTCTGGGCCTTCCAACCCCAATCCCTTCCAGCCCACGACCTCACCTCTTCTTGCCCACCTACATTCCCTGCCAGCCTGCTCCAGACCCTTTTGGACTGCATTACTATTGGCCATGTTAGTTAAGGCAAGTGGAACTTATGGTGCAGTCCAACAAAACCTGTAGAGATGCAGTTTGCATACATCTGATTTACAAGCGCCCCACAAATGTTCATAATGGAGTACATGAAAAGTGATCCTTCATGGTAGGGGTTGGACTGGATGGCCCATGTGGTCTCTTCCAATTCATCTTAACTCTCATGATGTGACAACTTGGCACATTAAGTAAAAAATCCAACAGCCATTAGTATTCAAATTAAATTGTTGTGCTAAAGAAATAAAAAAATAATTTCTTTTATTGACTTTTGTCTTTCAGTTCACCAAGAAATTTCCAGTGATGGAATGAGCTGGTCTATTTTAGGCTTGCCTGTGGTGTCTTACCTCGATTCTGGAGAATATATATGCAAAGCCAAAAATTTCCTTGGAGCAACAGAAGCTTTCATCTCCCTCATAATCACTGAGAATGAAAGCACAGATGTCCCCAGTGCAAATTCTAAAGGAACCTGGAATGGAAAGGTGGGTGGGATGGAAGCAGCAGCTTACAATGACAATTTAGTTGCAAGATATGTTATCACAACTTCAACTTCTCCAACCTTGGGTGCCAGGTCAATTCGGGCCAACACAGAAGGGAACCCAGTACTTCAAGATGAGGCACCTAATATGATCAACAATCCAAGGAATCTCATAGCAAGTCCACCCCCTGCCCAACAGGAGCCTGAACGCATAGTCAGGTCAGTCAGAGTGATAGGAGATACAGATCGTAGTGTCACATTAGCGTGGAAAGCTCCTCAGGCCAAGAATACAACTATCTTCAGTGTCCTGTATGCTATCTTTGGAGAAAGAGATATGCGTCGAATCAATGTGGATCCTGGTAAGACCAAGATAACAATTAATGATTTGATGCCGAAAACCAAATATATAGTGTGTGTCTGCGTAAAAGGATTGATTCCAAGGAAGGAGCAGTGCATCATCTTTTCCACAGATGAAGTGGCCAGTGCTGGTGGAACCCAAAAACTTATCAACGTGGTAGTCATCAGTGTGGCTTGTGTCATCGCTGTCCCACTGACATTAGTGGTCTGTTGTGGGGCCCTGAAAAGGCGTTGCAAAAAATGTTTCACACGGAAACCCAAAGAAATCCAAGACTCTTATGTCACCTTTGAAAGCCTCTCTCCAGGGGCCAAAGTGAAAGGAACAGAAGGGGAGTATTTAACAAGACACACGCCAGATGAATCCAATAGATTGCTGTCAGCCAGGTCCAGTGTGGACTCAGAAGCAATACCAAAAGCAGAAGGACAGCCAAATGAATACTTTTGCTGATGCTAAATCAGTAATCTGGCCAACCTAACATATAGATTGCATTTAGCAATTCACACATTGCATGATATCTGAGCCTTTCATGTCACAACTATTATCTCTCATATGTTGGAAAAAAACCCAGTGTGAATCTTGACTGAGACTTTTTTTTCACATTCTTGGATTCAATGATGAAAAAGCTATATGAAAATTCAGTGGAATTTTCCCCCTCCACCATCAACATGTAAAAAATTCATCTATGACTGAAAGATACAATTTTTAACATTTTGTGTAATGTGTGAAATCTCTCAATGTGGAAGCATGAGGTTGTAGGGCAGGAAGATAGAGGGAAAAGTCATGGATCTGTTCAGTTATGGTTTACAGGGAACTAAATGCTAGAGAGGGTAGAAGCTGTGTAAGTGTATTCCAGGTGGATGGACTCAGTCAAGAGGTTGCTGACTGTGTAAGACTTGAGTTGGGCTGTTGGGGACTTAGAGGTCACTCATTCTGAGGGCAGCTAACAAAAAATAAGACTTTTTGCTTCCTTAAGTGAAGAGCAAGATAGTGGCATCCTCCTCCAATGCCGCAGTCAACAGATGATTGGGCTGCCAATTGAATATTTATTTATTTATTTATTTGACTTGTATACCGCCACTCCCAATTTGGCTCGGAGCGGTTTACAGCAGTAGATTAAAACAATGCAACCAACTTTAAAATACAATAAAACCGAGAACTGACATAGTCCCGAGTTATTCACCCACTGAAAGCTTGTCGGAAAAGAAAGGTTTTACAGGCTTTCCGAAAAGCAAGTAGCTCTCAGATGGTTCGGGTTTCAACTGGCAAGGCATTCCATAAATAAGGGACCACAATCGAGAAGGCTCTCTGCCTAGTAGAGGACAGATGATAAATCCGGATGTTGGCCCTCGGCAAATTTTGGTCCTCGGACCAAAGTAATCTCTGGGGTTGGTAGGGGGATAAGCGGGCCCTCAGGTACGCCGGCCCCAGACCATATAAGGCCTTAAAGGTTAGTACCAGCACCTTGAAAGTAATTCGGTACTCAATCGGAAGCCAGTGCAGCTGTTGTAGAATTGGGGTGATACGACACCTCGCTGGCACCCCGGCGAGATGAGCCGCCGCATTTTGCACCAGCTTCAGTTTCCGGATCACTGACAAAGGAAGGCCAATGTAAAAGGCGTTACACTAGTCAAGCCTCAAGATGACCGTCGCCTGGATCACCGTAGCCAGGTCGTTCCTAGATAGGATGGGAGCCAGTTGCCTAGCCTGATGTAGGTGGAAAAACAGGTGGAATACTGCTAGAATTGCACCCTCCGTCACACTTGAGAGCACCAGGCAAGTTTAGTGGAATAGAATAGCTTATGTGGCAAACACAAACAAATATGTATCCCAAAAGAATGAAAGATCGTCAGTTGATCAGGGAGAACCAGCAAAACTCCTCCTCTTGCTGCTCCCTACCAACTGTTGCCTATGGTGGCTGCCTCGTCTTGCTTCAAGGTCAGGTCAGTCAAATAGTACAGGTATGGATACATCCATCTCTACAGTCACTTATCCATCCAGATGAGCATGGAGAAATATGGGTATTTGTGAAGCATCTTCTAGGCTAGAACAGAAAAATTAAAGGATTCTGATAATACTGTATACAAAAGGTGCAAGTTGTGTGGCCTTCCAGATCTTGTTGGACTGCACCTTCCAGTAGCTCTAGCCAAAAAAGCCAATAGTGAAAAATGCTGGGAGATGCAGTTCAACAATATCAGAGTGAGAATATGATTCCTACTTATGACAAACTTTGGTTTCTTAAACAAGTCTTCACCCCATATCTTGAAAGCAGGGGGAAGGAAACGCTGTTGGTAGTCAGAGTGTCCCATATTGTCATTCATACACCCTGAACAAATGCGTCTGTTCAGTGAATATATGTACATATATCTCATATTTTCAAAAGCACATTATAGCAATCTTCTTGTCAATTCCCTGTTTTGAAATTCATTGCATAATGTAAAATGAAGTGTGATAAACTCCTGTTAGAATGATGCAAAGAGAAATGACTTTTGATAATAATAAAGTGAATGAAATTACTGTCAGGATTCACAGTCATTGCCTTTGATCTGGAACAAAGGATAGACTTTGAGACTCAGCTACTCTATTGTTTTGTAGTCTCAGAAAGAGAGGAAAACAAGTCGCTATATCTGGTGCTTCTCCTTTTCAGCCTACTCAGTTGCATTTGTCATTGAGGAAGCCATTTATCATGTTCTCTCAAGCAGCCTATTTTGCAAAGCAAGTTTCTGCTGCAGCATTGCATGTGTTTTATGTTTTGTGGTTGTTATTGCTGGATAGAACTACCAAAGATAGCCATGCATAGTTTGACTTCATGCATAAATCAATGGCAGATTTGACCTGTGGATTAGTTGAGGGTGATAACACAAGTGGAAAGCACCAGGGCCACCTCAGGGAGTCAGCAGCCTCATCATCATCATTTCCTGCCCAGACATTCAAAACAGTCAGAAGCCTTAGCAGAAAGAGTAGAGAGGTCAGTGCTTCTTTTATTATTATTATTATTTATTTATTTACTATGCTTCTATACCGCCATTCTCTGCCCAAGGGCGACTCATGGCAGTTTACAAAATGGCACAATTCGATGCCCACAACAGTACAAAAACAATTTAAACATTAAAAACATTTAACACAAGTAAAAATTCATTACAATTCACATCAGTAATACAATAAAAATCATAAGTCCTCCGCATTTCATTACCAGTCATTATCCAGTCACGTTGTCCAACCATTCCAAGATCAGAGTTTAATAGCTACACTGCGTTTGGGAAGGCCTGCTCATATAGCCAGGTTTTAACTTTTTTGTGAAACGTTAAGAGGGTGGGGGCTGATCTAATGTCCCTGGGGAGGGCATTCCACAACCGAGGGGCCACCACTGAGCAGGCCCTATCCCTCGTCCCCGCCAATCGAGCCTGTGAAGATGGCAGGGCCGAGAGCAGGGTCTCCCCAGAAGATCTTAAATTCCTAGAGGGTTTGTAAGGAGAGATACGTTTGGACAAGTAAGCAGGGCCAGAACCGTTTAGGGCTTTATAGGCTAAAGCCAATACATTGAATTGTGCTCGGTAGCAAATTGGCAGCCGGTGGAGCTGGCGCAACAGGGAAGTTGTATGCTCCCTGGGCACCGCTCCAGTTAGCAACCTGGCTGCCGCCCGTTGGACCATTTGGATCTTCCGAACAGTCTTCAAAGGCAACCCCACGTAGAGAGCATTGCAGTAGTCTATACGGGATGTAACCAGAGCGTGGACCACCGTGGTCAAGTTAGATTTCCCAAGGAACGGGCGCAGCTGGCGCACAAGTTTTAGTTGTGCAAAAGCTCTCCTGGCCACCACCGAGACCTGGGGTTCCAGGCTCAGTGATGAGTCTAGGATTACTCCCAAACTGTGAACCTGCATCTTCAGGGGGAGTGTAACCCCTTGAAGGATCTCACAGGATAGACTAAGCTCTTGCATTTCAGTACTCTACTCAAACAACCTTATGACATGGTGCAAAAAAGTCCTAGGATGCTTTTTCCCAGTTCATCCATGGAGCTCCACATTAGCCATTAGATGATGTAGGGTGACTTCTGGTGGTGCTCTGTGGGTGAACTAGGGAGGCAATGTGGAAGGACACTGCTGCTGTCAACCCAGAAGCTTCCCTATGTTCTATATGGAACAGCAAGGCTTCCGCAGATAATCAGCAACATTATGATGGGGAGACATCAGCTGCTGTCCAGGGCACTGGGATTGTCCCACTGCAGCCTTGAAAACACCCAAATTCATAATGGGGGCTGGCAAATCTCTACATTGGATAAGGTCCAGAGAAGAGGGGATTCATTTATTGATAAGAGTTTAGGTAGAGTACTCACTGATCTATGAGCAAGTTGATTCATGGGGACTGTAATGGGGTAACCAACCTTCAGCATTGACAAAGAGGACCTCTGTTTTGTCTGGATTAAGCTTCAGCTTGGTAGCCCTCATCCACTCCATCACAGCTGTCAGGCACTGGTCCAGGATCTGGGGAGCTTCCTTGCATAGCTAGAGAGAGCATTTTTTCCAAGTTAAATCACAGATCTGAGGACCATATTGAAAAACAGTTACTTGCCACAATATTGGCACTGATAGATGCTGATCATGAGAAACTCCACATAGAAGAGAGACACTATAAGTGCCATGAGTGTGCAGGAAGTTTTGCTCAAAAATCCTTGAGCACTTAATACTTTCTTTCTACATGCTTCTGTTATAATTTCATCAATGAAAGCAGAATATAAGGCAGTGGGACATGATAGTAATGAAGCTATATCTCTGTAATTAAGAAGGTACCTCAAGCTGTAAAAGAAATGAAGTAATCCCTTATGAAGTTCACAAATAGTGTTATGTAATTAGACTTTGTTATTGGGGGAAGAAATTAATTATTAAGTAAATCGTTATTTTCTTTTATGCTCTGTGCTGCTGGTGGGAAATGTTAAACTGATAATTTAACTACTCTCTCCTGAAAAGTGACATGCCACTTTGTCCTCCACCACAAGTTTCCTGCAAACAGTGCCACTGGGTGGAGTAGTGGCAGAGGGCAAGGGCTCGTCCCGCTATTGCTCCACCATGGATGCCACCTCAACTCTGCATGTGGTATTGAAGAGGAAGAAGAACAGATCTAATGTGCCACTGTTGTCTCTACTGTCCCGCCAGTTCTGACCCTGTCCTGGCAAAACAGAGAATCTAAGACCAGGAGAGACTCACGTGACCCAGTCAGTGTTTATTTCTTTGTTTCACTCTCTTGCTTTTCCTCTTGGTCATGCTTTTTCCTGGGGAAATAAAGAAACACAAGGATGTCACATTTTCCAGTACTGTTGATTCTACAGAAATAATTACACAAATGAAAATGCTGCAGATTGTATCAGAGAGGAACAACACCATGAAAAAAGCTCATTGTCTCACAAGCATTCACATCAAGGAGACTTTTAAAAAGGGTTGTCTCATTTACTATGTGAGAATGAATCAAGCCAGGATTTGCATCCTGTTTGGGCTGCTGCAGCCAATTTGATTCAATGGCAGTGTGGAGAAAGAAGGGGAATGGGATTGAGAAGTGGCAGCAACTATGGAAATATAAGCTATGTCATTCAGAATTGAAGTCATGAATATTTTGATCAGTTGAGATAGGTGGGAGCAGACAGCTGTGCAATATGTTTCGTTATCTTGAGCATACTAATAGTGAATATCAAGATGAGAGAATATTTGGTCCAGCCAGATTGAAAATATTAGTGTGTCATAAATTTGTGATATACTTTTGGTATCTGCATCCCTCACATGAATTTTGGAAGAACCGATCAATATGGAATTGGGGACATGTCTATAAAAGGGAAGATATAATCTTAATATATGACTATTTTCTAGTGTAATGCTCTAGTTCAGTGTTTCTCAACCTGGGGGTCAGGACCCCTGAGGGGGTCGTGAGGGGGTGTCAAAGGGGTCACCAAAGACCATCAAAAAACATAATATTTTCTGGTGGTCATTGGGATTCTGTGTGGGAAGTTTGACCCAATTCTATTGTTAGTCGAGTTCAGACTGCTCTTTGATTGTAGGTGAACTATAAATGCCCAAAGGTCAAGGTCTATTTTCCCCAGACTCTACCAGTGTTCACATTTGGGCATACTGAGTATTTGTGCCAAGTTTGGTCCAGATCCATCTTTGTTTGAGTCCACAGTGCTCCTCTGGATATAGGTGAACTACAACTCCCAAACTCAAGGTCAATGCCCACAAAACCCTTCCAGTGTTTTCTGTTGGTCATGGGAGTTCTTTGTGCCAAGTTCAGTTTAAATCCATCGCTGATGGAGTTCAGAATGCTTTTTGATTATAGGTTAACTATAAATCCCAGCAACTACAACTCCCAAATTACAAAATCAATCCTGCCCCCCCCCCAACCAAACTAGCATTCACATTTGGGCACATTGGGTATTTGTGCTCAATTTAGTCCAGTGAATGAAAATATATCCTGCATATCCGATATTTACATTACGATTTATAACCGTACTAAAATGACAGGTATCAAGTAGCAACAAAAACAATATTGTGGTTGGCAGTCACCACAATATATGGAACGGCATTAAGGGGTCACGGCATTAGCAAGGTTGAGAACCACTGCTCTAGTTCTCCTACTTCCATAAGCTGCTTCAGCAACACCAGCAAGATTCCGTACTATATATCATGCAGTGCTATAATAGCTCAATGCCACTTGTATTCAATATAATCTTGTGATCTGCAGTTTGGTGAGGGACTTACAGATCTATCCCAGTGTCCTCTAATGGACTAAAGCCCCAAAATTCTCTAACAGAAAATTCTAATTTCCCCTTCAAACTATGTACCCCAGAATTCAGTTTGATCGCACCATGGAACTAAAGTGGGAGCAAACTGCTATAGTTGCATAGCACAGACCTATTATTTATCTGCCTACCCTATTGACTGATAAATTGTTGACAAAGTGGTGACTATAAGTTTCTAGGTTGGAGAACATTTAGCTTCCCAGCAGGCCCGTAGCCAGGATTTCGTTTCGGGGGGGGGGGGGGGGGGGGGGGCTTTTTGGGGGTTTGGGGGGGGGGGGGGAGGGGGAGGCTGAGTCTGAGTGAAAAGGGTCTACCCTAGCAAACCTTTTGTATCATTACCCCAATACCCCCATGCATATGGGATATATTGAGTATGGTGATCAGATCATGATATGAATAAACATAACAGTTTAAATAATGCACCAGTAAGGCCTTTTCGCGAACCACCATGAGAATTTCGGGGGTGGGGGCTGAAGCCCCTCAAGCCTCCCCCTCCCCGGCTACATGCCTGCTTCCCAGATATTTTGGACTTTACCATCCAAAAGCATAGGCAATGGTAAAAGATTATGGAAGTTAAAATAAAAAAAAATATCTGGAGGGTCCAAGATTTCCCAACTTGATCTACATTATTATCTGTATGAAATATAACAGAAAAATATACTTAATCTGAAGATGTGCAGTTGCTAATGCCTCTTTGGCTTCTCCTCAAACTGTCATGGAATATGAAGGCTCT